ATATTCCACTGAAATCAAGTTCAACTCAGGGATCTGTTACTTGCCCAAGTGCTTTGCCAAGATGGGAAGCTCCTTCAGAGAGAAAAATAAAAACCTAGATAGTGTCTAGCCTCTTTGACACAAATAAGTGTAAGTCTTATCAATATTTGGGATCCTCTGGCATCCAGGAAATATTTTAAAGTTGCTTGGTTGCTTGTATCATTAATAGGGAAGAAAAAAAAAAAAAAAAAAAACTTTTAAAAATCACCAGTAAGACTTCTATGTGTTTTTGTTGTTGTTGTTATTTTACTGTAAGTTTGAGAGAGCCAGTCCCAAGCTCAGCAATTTTCATTTTTTATTTTTTAGAGAGTATATATCTTCCTTTGATGCTCAGGTAGTTTTCCACCAATGAACTTGATGTTTAACTGATCTTTGGCATATATTTTTGGGAAGTTAGTTTTTTGATTAGATTCATATACAACAGGTTATGGAAAGGCATGCAATAATATTGAGCATGTTTATGAATGCTTGGAAACATTGGATGAGTGCATATAACTCATATGTTAGAAAAGTGGAATAAAAATCTGTTCTTTCATGTAAAATGTCTTCATCATGGACAAGCTAGGATGTATCCCCTTGGAGTGCATAAATCTATTGTAATTGTGGGAAAAAAAAATAATTTGAACCTCCCAGATCCTTTCCTAGGGCTTTAATCTGTTAGAAGGTCATGGAGACTCAGTCCAGATTACAAGGCAAAGACAGGCTAAATCAGTAGTTAGAAACAACTTTTATGATTAGGTTTATTTTACTTGCTTATAGGTTGAGAAAAATTTAGTAGTTATAGCCTACAGTTTATCTCCCACTTTGGCAACCTTGCAGGTGCAAGGTGGAAGTCTATCAATAGTCATCTGAGGGGAAAAAATACATTTATTTCCACAAGAAGTGACCTGAAATTAGGCCTTTTCTGTTCTCTGCAATCAAAATGCAGGGCAAAATTTATTCTCCTCCAGGCCCCTGGCACAGAATTTATTACTTGTGAAATTCACAAGAAATTACATAATTCCATCTTTCTTCCATGCTGGCACAGTAGGCATTGGAGCTGCAAACAAGGAGTGCTGATGACCCTAGCGGGGACTTGCCATTGACTGCGCTGTCTTTTGGGATCAGCTGTGCACATATTAATGTAGACCTGGAAAAAAAAAAAAACACTCACCTTTATGGGTTTCATGGGCTCCTTTACTTGCAGAAACACCTTTATCCTCAAATTCTTTTCCATGCGACACAAATTTTACTGTTTTCTTACTCTTCCACCTTTTGAAGTATAAGGCAGTCCTGCACTGATGTTTTCACCTGGACAAAACCCAAGAGCCTGTAATACTCAAGAGATTTTGTCTGTTTCCTCCATGCATAGATCCCTGTATAGATTTTTAGAGTGGTTGCCCATCACAGTGTTTATAATACTGAGGGCTAATAATAGCTCCCAGCCTTACTGTTGCCAGCTTGTGATCTTTTCAGAATTAACAAAGTACAGAAGGACAGAGAAGGTGGAAAGCCTCCTTGGATTAAAATTAATTAATTAATTAATTAATTAATCTCTAATATTTTAATTGAGAGCTGAACAAAACAATCTGTGGAAGGAGTATCCTAAAGTAATGCAACCTAAGACTTCAAGGGGATTTTAAGCAGAAGAAAAAATCATTTGGATCAGTCCAAGACACTGTTTGATTAGCTCATTTTCAAACTATTGAACCACCTCATAATATTTCATCCTTTCCTTCTGTCTCTAATGATCTCTAATAACAAATCTATCTCTAATAATAATTGCTTTAGTTTAAAAAAAAATAATAAAATCTGAACTTTCATTGTTAAAATATTGATTAAACCTGTTTAAATAATTTTAAAATAAAAATGTTGACATTTGAAAGAAAAAACGTTACTATTTAGCAGCATTAAAAACTAATTCTGTGAATAGCTCTTTTTCTCTCACAGCAAAATTCCACATTCATGAAAACTCACTCTCCACAAAAGGTAAGGAAAATATTGCTGTTCTAAGCACAAAAGTGAGAGTAGCACATTCCCCTCTGCATCTTCACAAAATCACTGTCCCAGCATTGCAAGAAGGGATGCAGCAATGTTGTCAATATTATGCTAAAATGTAAAGACATCTGTTCCTAGAGCTCCTTGTAAAATCCAGGAGTCTCGGTAAACAGCTGGGAGTGAGATTTTTTTGTATGTTTGTTTTTATTGTCTTTTTTTTTTTTTCCTTAGCCTCTGTGTGGCAGAGAAACCGATCAGATACCAAATAGGACTTTCTGATCCTTACAACCAGCCAGGAAAATTGTAAATTTGCCTTTGGAGGTAAAGTAGCGTCCAAAGAGCTCCTGGGGCACAGGCCCCAGGATAAATGATACAGTTGGGAAAGTCTACATCTGGATTTAACTGTGTCTACAATGCATTTGAAGTTGTGACTCTAGCTTTTGTAAAAATATCCAAGGTGCCTGCAGTAAAGAGAGCAGAGAGCAACAATGGTAAAAACAGTCTGTAACAACAGGATGCAGCTACTCTCTATAGTCCACAAACAAAATTACTGTACAGAGAAAGAAGTTAGGGCCCATTTTCAGATCTTTTTCTGGTAGTGATCAAATTTCACCCCGCAACCTATTAATTTATGGGTGGTGAGCAATTAGTCTCCAGTGATTTCACCTAAAAAGTATGGTGGTTTTTTGTTTTGGTTTGGCTTGGTTTTTTTTTTTCACTATAATGCATTCCAGATCATGAGAATCCATGCAAAGCCTGCCACCTCCACAGTAATTAATTACTCTGATATAAAACTTAGCAGGCTGAAAACAGTTTTTAGTGAAAACAGCAGACAAAGCACGTGTCTGCTTTGTGGTTTTACTACAGAGACATTTTTACCTGTCTAGGAACTCTCTACGCTGTGTCAGAGAAGTCATTAAATCAAGATAATGACATCGCTATTCCACCTCCTTCATCTACCTCCTCAGTTACTACAAGTGACAAGCAATCAGTTTAACACTGTCTGCTTTCTAAACCTGTGCTGCAATGTTTGTTTTATAAATACAAATCTCCTTTAATTGTACTCTGTGAAAGAAGATGGGATGAGATGTGAAAATAAATTCAGTAAAATTTAGCTACTGGCTTACAAAATATCAAGCATGCATTTTATGTTCAGTCACCATATACGTTTAAAGGTAAATATCCATGCTACACATTTAGGTCAGTCATTATTTTAAGGCATGGCTTCACAAGCAGCAGTGGACTGCTCAGGCTGCAGTTCAATCAGAGATCTCACAGAAAGCAAGCCAGCAGGGCTGACAGAGCAGCAAAGCTGAGTTCACACAGCTGGGCTAAATGGGTGCAATGGACTTCTTTTTCTCTGAATTATTTTACTTATCCACTCCTTTCTTAAACTCATAGTTTAAACTCATAGACTGCATTTTTAATTCTCAGTGGAACCAGAACCACAGAATTCAAATTCAGTTTTATTTTTAGATGTCTCATTTCTACAAAACTTCGCACATTCTCATTCACCTTGTCCCTTGGTTTCCCTGTCTAATTGACTGAATATTTTAAATTCAGGCTAAGTTACTCAGTTGTGACTAGCCATTTATATCAGGTGCAGTCCCCTTTGTTGCAATTAAATGACATTTTTAGATCAAATATATTTTAAACAAGCTTTTAAAAGAATTTTGCTCAAACAGACAAGAACATTACTCTGATCTTTGCTCAAATCATTTTTGCCATCTGTGGTTACCTTTCAGATCAAGATTCATGCTCTTAAATTTTATGACTACTAACATTCATTGAATACAAGGTGCAAAATCTGCTTTATAAATATGTACAAAAGCAGACTTTAAAGTCTACATTATTTTAAATACTAAATTATGGCTTAAATATTGAGCTTCCAAGTCCCAAAATATTCCAAGCAATGTATTTGGAGCTCTAATTTATTTCTTTTTTTCCTATTGCTTTGCATATTTGCTTTTAATATTTGCTCCACAGCTGGGAGAACTGCATATTTTTACTGAACAGTAAAGATTTCACAATCATCTGACTTCATCAGCTGAAGATTTATGCAAATCACTTAATAATAAGACTCATAATAATATCTTGGCATTGGTGGCACTAGAGTATGAATACTGACTGCTGATAATTGATCCATGGTGTACTGAGTGAATAATGAATGCACTAAGGGAGTCACTAGAATACACTCCAAGATACAATGTCATTAAAACAATGGCCACAGTAGTCCAAGGATTTAATGCAAAAATAGTTTGCCTGGCTCAAATACTTGCCTACCAGAATTAGCTATTTGTAAAAGACATTGCCTGTAATAGATGAAAGAAGCTATTCAAAGTTATTTTCAGTTATTTTCCTCCAGTAACAAAGAAAAACACCAATCTCTTATTAAACAGTTTTTCACATCTCAAGACTGGTCACCATTTCCTGAGCACCTTCAATTACTCCATCTTCCTCCTAACTGTCCCTCCTCCTCCCTGCTGCTCTGCTTTTACCCTCTTTGATCCGTGAGTGAACTTCACCAGCATCCCTCATCTGCTAAAGCCAGCTCTTTCATTCTTTCTAGCCAGGCCTCATGTGATTTGCCCTAGGATTGTCTTTGTCACCCATCTGAGTCTCTGTGTGACCTCTCCAATGAGTTTCCTCAGTGTCTCCTTATTTTTCTTCCAGCTATGCCTTTTATCTCATGTTGCCTCTTTGTGCTCTCTCTTTGTTCTTGTATCATGTCACCCTCTGGCATCCCAGCTGTCTAATCTTTAATTTTTGGGTTTCTTCGAGATGTCCCCACTAGTTCCTACTACTCTTCCTACTCTTTCTTCATCCAACTTGGTCTTGTGTCCAGGTAAGACTTGGGGTGGGGAAAGAGTGGTAGAGTTAAATGCTGCTTCAGTCACCATTGCTGTATTAAACACCTTGAAATAGCACAACTGGTTGGCTGACATGCAACCAATGTGTTAACTGTGTGTAGAGGTGCACATTTGTGTGATTAACCAGACTTGCTTGACAATATTTTATTGGTCATTAATTTCTAATTAATTTCTTCTTAATGACCCATAATATCCGATGTCTGTCATGCATGTTCCCAAAACAACCATGAACACCCGCATGCACTCTAATATGTATACTATTTTGGACTGTATCAGCAATGTAGGCTATGTATCTTTTCCTCCTACTGTTTGTTACCTGAAATAACAATCTGACTTTGAGCTGATTATTCAGCCTGCGATAGGAAGTTGTGTGTACTTTCAGTGAATCCAAAAGGGCTTTCTCATCCAGTTTAAAGGTAATGTTGGCAGTCTGCTTGTCCTCATGCAGTGGTACTACCCCAATGGCACATCATAGGGCAGAGATTTCTCAGGCTTTTGAACACAGGTCACTGACACCCTCTGAGCAAGACAAGGTGGATGATCCCCTCATTTCTCAGGACACAAAAAGCAACCGTGATGACTTGATAATAGAAAACTTCAGGCAATTTAGATTTATCCTTTGTATGGATGGGTTAATCTTTTCTGAGTCTGAGGATGATTCTACCAGCTACCCATTGAACTGAGAAGACTGATGAAGAGGTGTGCAAGATCACTGGGGTGGTGGTGCCAGATCTGGAAGGTGTGCGAAATCTGAAACAAACACAGGAAAGTATCAGTCACTACTTAGATCAGTCCAGACATGCAACCACAGAAGGAACCAAAGGTCATGTCTATTCAACATGCGTAAATTAAATGTGTCCAGAAAGCATAAGCCAGCAACAAGTTTGTTCCACACCTCCACACGCCTCCAGAGTACCAACCTTTTGGCCAGAGTATGGGATTATAGTTGACCACAGCATAAATATTTCAGAATCCATTGGCATGGGAAGGAAAAACAAGCATGAGCTCTTCTTTCTGTGGGATACCTTGCACCAATCCTTCATTGTCAGAGCAATTACAACCTTTTGTTTGGTTGCCTCATTTGCTTTCCTGCAATGCTGTGTCTTAACACCACATTTACCTGATAAATTGGCCAGCTTCCCCATCTGAATAATGATCCAAGGCTTTTACATGCTCTTGTCATAAAAAAAACAGCAGCTCTGCTGAATGCCCTGGCTGCTATCAGTAAACACAGCCAAGAGGCTGTGCCTGCAGCGCTGGCAGGAGTTACGACTCTGAAAACACCAGCCAGCTCAGCTGCCTTAGTCACTCACTCACAAGTGGTGCTCACACATGGTCCCTCAGCTAGCTTGCTGGTGACTGGATGGATACAGTGACAACACAGATGAAATTAACAACAACTTAAAGCAAGTTATTATGTTCATATTTGTAAGTCAAAATAGATGATACAGCCCTTTTACTGCACTGAACACTGACTGAAGGAACTATTGCACTGACAAATGTCTGGCATTTCTTTGTGGGCTCTCCAATAAGGTCAACAGCATCTGAGCAACCCTTATCAATGCTGGAGTAAGAGAAGGCAGCGAAACCCAGTCAAGGCAGGGAACTCTTATACAAAAACATTGTTGAATATTGACTTTTATATTGGCATTTCCAGGATCCAAAAGACTAAGGGAAATGATACTATGTCAATATTGGAGTATAAAGACAATGGGCACTTTCATTGCTGGGTACGTTAAACTGATCTTCCGGCCCATCTGGATCTTCAGTGGAAATGGGGCAAATCATTCCAGGTTCATCTTTCATTACTCATTAGTAATGCTTTTTCTTTTTCTTTTTTTTTTTTTTTCTTTGTGGGAAAGAAAAAAATGCACAACGAAGCTGTGATTTTTATTTTTTTTTTGGTACCAACGATCACTTTCTCATCTCAGAATGGCTCCAGGCCTTTCTTTAAAAAAATAAAAAATAAATAAATAAAACACAACACTTTAACAACTTCAGGGAAAAAAAAAAAAAAAGAGAGAGAGAGAGGGAGGGTAACAAAGGTAATGAATAGTTTCATTCTTTAAAAAAAGCACCATGCTTTCAAGCTCTGGTACACAATGACTGCCCTCTCCCCTCATGCTGGGAAAAGAACCAGAGCAGATGCTTCCTCACACATCCAGTGTGCCTCATAAAAGTGTGGGACTCTTCACAACAGAGCAAAGTATTGCTTCACTAGTGCATCGCTCCCTGCAGCGGTCTCCAGGGTATTTGAAACCTACTAATGGAGCAGATATACAGACAGCTAGAGGACAGGAACAGTCACACTGAATAAGACTAATAACCCATCTAACATTGTTTTTTGGTTTCAGAGTCAACCACGTCATGCTGCCAAGAGGTGTGCTCTCCTAACAGAGAACTGCACATTGACCTGCTGGTCTGAGTCTGGCTCTTGTAACGGCTGGAGGATGGAGACCTGCTCCTTTTCCCCTGTCCCCAAATACAGGTCAATTGTGCCTCACAGGATGGACTTCTAGAGATAATGGATATGATTTGTTTTGTTTTGTTTTGTTTTGTTTTTGCAGGGGAGGTGGAGGGGGGAGGTTACACTGAGGTCCTTGAATGCAACATACTGCATGATGGTGACATCCAAAATAACTATATTTTTTTTTCTGAAAACAAGCCATCAGTTGAGCAGCCATGTTACCAATGACTCATGTCCTGTAGCCTTCAGCTTCCTCTGTAAGCACCTGAGCAGCCAAAGCCCCCTCAGCCACCTGAGGTCCCTCAACAAAGCCTCTTCCAAAAGCTGTGGTGTGGGGATGGGGAAATGACATTGTTGACAAAGCCCTGTGTGGACAAACCAAGTCTTTCCTGGGGCACCATTTCACCAAACCTCTGTTCTTAATAAAATCTGTAGGAGTGAGGTATCTTGGAGATTTCCTTTGGAACAGCAAATTCAAAAGTTGTTGTGGTGGAGAGGTCTGATGGATCTTTGGACAGACAGGCCAAATGGGTGATCGGACGAGCCTCTTAAAATAAGAAAAGTGCAGCAGGGAAATCATTTAATTCATTTTTAATAACTATCACACCTTCAGCTACCTCACAGCACTGGGTGAAGACTGGATGTACCTGGAATTGTGCTGGAAAAAGTGCCTGAACAGTTAATCTGGAATAGTTCTGTGCAGTCGAGCCCTGTTGTATGTATCTCCACCAGGCCTCTTGTAAGTCTTATTTTTCTTTTTTCTTTTTTAATATTTTTCCCCTATAAAGAAATGTTTGCATCTTACATATTCACTTCAGTATCAGTCTTATTTTTCAAATGCATAAGGAAATTTGGAAGACTGTACTCCTGATTGATCAGGCTGTGCTAATCTTTCCTCTCCCACTGATTGTTGTCTTCAACTTCTGAGCCAATTCTATGCCTAGAGTTGCAAAACATTTTTCTCATAATTTGCAGCTGCAAGCTTCTTCAGGACAAGAGACTTGGCGTTTGCAAAATATCCTCTACTTTTATATCGTTTTCCAAGATATTTGCATATCTAATAACCAGTTTGCCTGGCTTGTGGTGCTGTAATTTTTAAGCCTTCCAGAATTCATAGATTAATAGCACATTCATTCCTTCTCAGTTTGTTCTTCATTATTATAAATGTGCCTTCATGAAGCTTTCAGTTAAGACCAGGATATTCTCCCTCCACTAAATCTTTCCTGTTACCTAAAACTTGGGAAATCATGCCCAGAGGAGACCATTAGTTATGCAGAAGAGGGAACAAGTACATGGATCTGATGAAACAGTCATGATATTTGGGCTGCCTCCTAGCCTGTTCTTCCAAATTGTTATTGCACCTGGAGACTGCTGGTTTTTAGTCAGTCCCAAAAGGATGTATATCACGGGCTGGCAGGGCTTGCCTAGACTTCCCTGCATAGCCTTGCCATCAGTTCTCTACTTTCCTCTGGAGCAAGTGATTTGGAAAATATGCAAGGGAATAGCTCAATCTCTGTTCTAGGCACCCACTCAAAAAGTAACAAAAAAGGTATTGGATTTGGAGATGTCCTATATGAGAGAGGCTAAATATCCAACAACAGATCTTTACCCACCAAAGGACATGAACCACTGGCTACTCCTAAAGTCTTTGCATATTTGTGAGAGAAAGCACAGGCTTAGAAAGCACAGACTAGCACCACCCTGTGCAAAGCCCAGTGACGGGACTTCCAAAGCACGCAGCATTTCATCATTCCATCCCTCCTGCTGAGCTTCTCCCTGGGTGAAGGAGTGGAAACATCACGGAAGCAACTCGCCCTGAGACACGCTGCCAAGCAGCTTTCTTTTACAATTACTCCATACTAAACCACATTGTAAGGTAATTATTTCATTAGCTGTAATACATGTTGGGACAGAGCTCTCTTGGCCATCTCCTTTTCATCTCCAGTTGGGAACAACATGGGAAGAGCCGCAGAGGAGAAGGAAAGTCTTTGAATACCCACCTGTTTACTTCTCTTTAATAGCCCTGAATCCAGAGAAAGTTAGGAAGTTCACTGGCAACAGTTAAATGTTCAATAAATTTGACCAAGAAATTCCTGAGCCTTATATGATTTATCTCACTCTGCATAATAAAACCACATGGAAAGTTGAATGTACCAGCCTGCTTGACCAGCTGCGATCAAGCATAGCATTTTCATTAATTGCAAGGCTTATCCATTACCACTGCACTCTGAAATGCCAGTGATCACACTGCTTCACCATCACTCATGGTAGAGAGAGAGAATCAGACTGAAGCATTTAATATAAGCAAGCCCAAGGCACCAATCAGGACAAGATTCAAATCTTTCAGAGAAATGGATTTTTGCTTTTCTGATGGAAAAGATAAGGTCCTTCATAGTTACACAATTGGAACTTAACTCTAAAGAACAGGGAGACAGAAACACTGGCAATATTACATCTATTATCTGAAAAATGAAACCCCAAAATAAATACGTTTCTGAAAACTGAAGGATCTTCATCATTAATTCTTGAATAATGCATCTGTTTAGCCTTGACAGGCACATTTTGGAAAGGAAAGTCTTGCTGAGTTTTGTACATGGAAGAGGTTAGTGACAGTTACAACTGGATCACAGGAAGAACTGAGGGTTGCAGCGAGTCTTGTTTGTGCAGGTGGTGGTAGATGCCTTCAGTGTCGTCCCCCCCCCCCCCCCATATGCCCTTTTGCTACATGCAGTTTGCTAGTCCAGGACCAAAATCCTTCAGAGTTTTCCTGAGCTTCATCAACATACAGGCTGCTCGCTCATCTTCATTTGAGTTCCTTTTCCCTTTTAATCTTTTAAAATGAACTCTTACATCTACCTTTTTCTCGGCTTTATTCTTATCATTATAAAGAACAGTCGTCTCAGTGGGTATTGATTCTCAGCACTCATGCATATGGAGAGGCTTGATTGCTAATTGAAGAGGGGTAAATCCAGGAAACTGTGTAAGATTTGCAGTGTAAAGGGAAAACTTATTAAAGAAAAAATATGAACTTGATAGACAATACATTTAGAATTAGTTTCCCCTCAGACCATTAATACAGTTGTGACTGGTATGTGATCAGCAGAGGTGGCTGTTACAGAGATAAAAGTTGGATCCAAACAAGACAACAAAAATTAATAAATAAATAAATAAATAAATAAATAAAACTACACAACACAAATGTATCCCAGAAGAGCTTCATTTTCGATATTCAGTCAAGCCATCTGAACAGTTGCCACCAAATCAATAGACCCACAATTAAGCATACAGTCTCACAGCTTGGAGATGAAAAGCAGTGAGAGCTAGAGAGATCGATATATGGGGTTGTTTGTTCCAGTTGTTACTGAAACACAAACGCATAGACAGTGTTCCTGCTGAATACAGTGAGCTAAGTTAATTCTTGGGAAAATGCCACTGAGAAATGGATTGGATCTAGTGATTAGTTTGACCCTTTGTGTCCCACTGCATGTTCATGCTCTCACCACAAAGTAGGCAAAGGCATGAAATCAAAATGCAGGGTATTTGATATGAAAGAAATATAAATCTGTGCTGGATCTCTTCCAGAAAGTGAAAGTGTTTCACAGCATCAGACCCCTCCCTTGCTTGAATATTTCTCTTCTCCTGAACTGTCCAGACATTACGTGACTGTCACCTTCCTCTAATCAAAAATGGGGACAGCTTACTTTCCAGAAAAGAAACAAGAAAGAGGGAGGGAAAGAGAAGAAAAAGAGGCAGAGGGGTGATCCAACGAGCCTACAGGTGTGTGCCCTACCACCTGGGATGCCTGCACTGCACCCGACTGCTCTGCAGTGGTCTCATCCCAGTCCAGTAGGGCCAAACCTCCCAGAAGCCTGCCTGACTTCTCACAAGAACAGACAGACTTTTTGCTGCATCCAGCTCCACCTGCACGACGAAAAGACCAAACCCATATTGATTAGATCAAAAAAGAGCTTTTTTCAAACCCACTTGAGAGGGAGGAAGAGTTTAAGCTCAACAATATTGACCACAGTGAGGCCTATATGCCTGTCAATTAATGGGAGTTGCAGCTCCCGATACTGAAGGCACTACACAGGGACAACAAGTGCTTTTCCAGTCTCATTTAAAGGCTTCCATCCTATGAATGGAACTGGTTTACTTGCTGGTAAGCAAATGCATTCAGCATGCATTTATTTCTATTCCCAGTTATACAATATTATTTCCAGTACCAGTTCTCAACTCCTAGTTCCCTGTCAGGTATATCACCAACAGAAGAGGGTAGTGCAAAAATAAAAAATTAAAAATCATAAATCTTGCAGGCATCACATATTTCCCTAGTGTAATGTTAGTGGGGTTTTACCAAAAAAATAAGCAACCTTTAATGAGTTAAAGTTTAGTTTTGTGCAGTTCAACCAAAGACACCTAGAGCTGTACCTTGGGCTTTGTTTATCCTCATGCTTAGTCTTAACTTCAAGGGCAAATTTTGACCTCCAGTAAATAAGCACATGCAGGATTTGTCCTCGTTCTCATCAACGGCAACCCTAATCACCTCACAGAGACTCTGCCCCTAAAAGCATCCCTTGCTATTAGCAGCATTAGTCTCTAAGAAAGATGACAGAGTATGTGTCCAACTTGATTCCTGCTCACTTCATCTCTTTGTTCCTAGTCATCACACTCAGAAGTGCAAGCACGTGCTGGCATCTTTTCTGAAAAAAGTTAGCCAGCACAAATTGAGACATTAATTTCCTGGTAACACTACTGACACATCCTGATTTTAATCTTAGCTGTCCATGCCTATTACATTTGTATTGCATGCATGCATTTACTGTATGCTCACCTGTCTGGTTAGTTACCCATATGATTTTACCATGGCTCATTCATCTTTCTCCTTTTGCCCTCCATTTTTGATGATATTGTCCATTGCTTCCTGTTCCCAATTACATAGTAAACTGATAGGGTGGAGAGAGTCTTCTCCTGTTGCCCACATGGCGCTCAGCGCTGCATGAACCTCAGTCTATCCCTAGGGCAAGCTGGTACTTCCACAGCAAGGGGTAATAAATAATAGAGAGAAAGAGCAACTGAACCCAGACTTCCTTGTGGTTCCAGCATTTTGGCTGTTGAAGCTTTGAGATAAGACTCTCTGGCTTGTGAACAGAGGGGAAAACATAAAACACTTGCAACTTTTGAATAGATTCATATTATTTGTATAATAATCAGCGACTTATTAGAGCCTAGACCCTTAAAAACCTTTGGGTTTTGTGAGTGACCCAGAAAATGTTTTTGGTATCAGATTTTCTGGCAGTTCCTTCCTAAGTAGAAATAGCACATTTCAAAACCTCAGTGTCTTGTGATGGCCTGTTTGTTTTGATTGCAAGGGACTGAGTTTCATCTTGCTCAGTACACAGGAGTTGCTTTTGGAGTGATGGTATCTTTTTAAAGTTGTCTATAATTAAAGTTGTTTTATAATAATGCAAACACTCCCAGTTAGGATAGAAGTGATGTTTACGAGTTTAGTCTCTTTCACACAAATTTCCGCTTGGATGCATATGCTGCCTAGAGCTAACAAAAGAAAATCTTTGAGTAGAAATGAACTGGTAAGGGCAAACAATAATTAATTAAACAGACCCATGAGGAGGCCAGAGAGTGATTATTCACTGCTGTTTTTTTTTTCTTTTTTTCAAGCTTTTATTTTTCTTTTTGTTCTACTTTTACTCTTAAAATATAAAATAAAACAGATTCCTCTTAAACTCTTTCTTGCATAAAAAAAGGGGGGGGGGGAGGGAGTTGAGAACATATTCAAAATACTTTTTAAGTGATGTAAGTATCTGAGCATCTGTGTGAGACTTTCTGCTGTGCTTCCAGAAACACAAGGGAGAAACGGTGTTGTTCATCTACCATCATGTTTCATGGATTTGGGACATCTCCAGAAGATGACATGAAGAGGGAATAAACCACTGCATACGAGCTGTGCAGATCCTGTTTGCAGATTATCTACAAGCTCGGCAGCATCAGAGAGCTCCCAAAGCTGAGAACAGCACAAACTCAGCCCTGCCCATCTCTGGCATGCCCTTGCTGTCAGGGCTTGAAAGTGGATCAATACAAAACAGATCGTGATGGCCTAATTTGTTTCTCTGCCACATCTCCATTAAGCTCTTGACAGCCGGTGACTGCCAGTGAAACAGCGAGGAGGCCTGCCCTCTCTTTGCCGGAGCTGACCTCCCTGCCCTGCCTGTCCTGTGCCTTCCAGAAGCACTGCATGGCCAGCTCTGGGTACTAACCTCTCCCAGACATACAGTAGGCTGTTAGAGAATCATGAGGGAGGGGAAAAAAATAAAAAATAAAAATAATGCACCTGTACCAGTCAGTGCTATAGTTTCTATTGCAATTTCCAGTGTGCAGACCCACAAAGCATCATTTAAGATAGAAATTACAGAAATTAAAGCAGGGCAGAAAGTGTCTAAACTTTCAGAACTTTCAGAGCACTCCATTCCTCTAGATTTGGACCCCCTAGATGCCTGCTGTGGTTTGCTAATCCCATGGAAAGGACTAGACACACCCCCATCCCAGAGGAGGCCCCTCAAGAGCCCCTCTGCCCTGTGCAGACAAGGCACACAAGTGATGGGTCTCTGGGCCAAAACACTGACTGAGATGCACTCAGTTCTTCTCACATGCCAGCTTATAAGGTAGAATATCTCCAGCAAGATAGGCTGAAAGGTGCCCTTTGGATGGCAATCGATTGCCAGCATCAGGTACCAGCTTTCCCAGCCTGAATACTTGTCAAGTAACAGAAGACTGCAGGGCCTAGCCTGGAAAGAAAGCATACCTGACATCTGGATTATATGAACTATGTAAGTTTCTTAAAATGAGGTTGCTAACCTGATGATGAAGAGATGAGTGTAACACAAAAGAGAGCTAGTTTGAAGACACAGAGTTTTCACCCTTGCAATGTAAATGCAGGACAAGCTGTCCTAACAGCACAGCAGGTAGCAATACTCTGCTAACACATCAGGAAGGTAAACAGGCCACCAACGTCTCATATGTACCTGTGGAGAAGATTAGGAAGTCCATACTAATGAAGGAATACAAAGTACCACAATGAAAAGCTAATTGTATATATTCTCAGCAATATTTTAACTCTTGGCATTAAGGTCTCCAATGTCTTTAAGCAGACACTAAAGTGAACAAAGACCCAGATAAACATCATTAAGAACTGACAACAGGAGGCCTGCTACCATGGAAAAGGACCTGACAATCTGCACGATATCTCTGTCTGATATCTGATTCATTACAGAATATGGAAGATATCAGCAAACACTGTCTGTTTTGTAACATATGGAGATGTTATTTCAAGAATATTTTTTGTAAGTTCTACAGATCTGATTCTGCTTCACAGAAATCTCAGCCATGCCTTTAAAGTCTGAGAGAAAGAGCTCACCAATTACCATATGGGCTCCAAAGATCACACCTAACAGTATTACACAGCATCACTCAAACGAATGAGGCCATTTTATTATTGAGATATCATGTATTAACTTGACATGCAAATTAGCATATCACCTAGACATGTTGAGGGAAATTTTCACTGAAACTTCTTTCCATGTGTACCTCAAAACAGACAGAACAATCACTTAAATCAATCACTTAAATCAAAGCAAAGTTTTTTCTTCAATAACAGGATTCTGGGTTGTTCAGATACATGAGATGTAGGAACAAACACAACTTTGCCTAACTCAAACTACGTACAGTGTCCTACAGCAGCCACACATTCTTATCATAAAGAGCACCCTAATAAAGAAGATGAATTGTTGTAATTAATTACCTTTCAAGTCTCTGCAGATAACCTGTCTCTCTTTAGGAAAACTGGCTTCTCCAGCTCTCTTCAGTACTGAAGTCTAAGAGATGGCAACAGAGCCAGTAGTTCTGAAACCCTGTTTACAAGCAAGAAATCAAACAACAGCAAAAAAAAAAAAAAAAAAACAAAAAACACAACAAGTTCTGAACAGATTACATTAAATCCTTTCAACTTTGTTCTGTAAGCTTCCAAGGTTTTTTATACCTTCAAATAAAATTATACTTCACCCTTCTACAGCATTTTCTGTTTGAGGATCTCACAGTAGTTTTAATTAATGGTAAGGAATTATTCTTTTGGTAGCACATTACTACAGATAAAAAAACTAGGCTGTGGTAGGATTAAATGATTTCCACTGCATCGTTGGGAGAAGAGATTGGGGATGACAGAGTGTGCAGAATCCTGAGTCCAACCAAAAACTTCCACTACAGGATACTCTTTTATTTGTTTGAAAATGTCTGCTGCCACAATAAGGTGCTGGGCTAAAGCCCAAGACTATCATTTAAGTTATTTCAGTAGGTCTTGGGTTAAATTTAGAAGCCTTATTTGTTTGTTTATCTGTTTTGTTTTGTTTTGTTTGTTTGTTTCCCAGCATGGATTATTCCAACCATCTCTGCAGTATGGTTCAGGTTTTTAAGAACTTGTGTTAGTGAGCCTTGTGTTTAGGTATTTTGTTCATGGGCAAAATGTTTTTTGTTTTTATTTTTCCCTTAATGATGGAATTTCTCTGTCACATTTGTGATACAAGACATTTCCTCATTTTCTCTCGTTGTGAATGCAACTCTCTTTTATCAATTAGTTTATTTGAAGAAGCATTCTTCAGCTAGAGTCCTCATCAGCAGAAGAAGCTCTGTAAGTTGTATTTCACTGAGAAAACCATGGTATAATGAAATCCCCAAAACTGTCTGAACTTACATAGATGAAAACAGTGTCATATAAAATGCAGAAGTTCAGGGCAACAATCAGTAGTTTCACCAGTGATCACTAGAGATGTATATATGTATATAGGTACTTGGATATAGATATATGTGTGTAGTCATTTATATACAAAGCATCTCTTTATCCAAGAAGATAGTAATTTGTCCTCCATATTTACCTACCCTTATACATAAGTCAAAAGAACATACAAGGACTGCATGTCTGAGTCAAGCTTTAATAAAAAGTCTGCACTATGTTTAGGAAGATGTGCTGTCCAGGAGCCCATGGAGCCCAAGCACCTCTTGTTCAACACTATACAATTGAGAAGGAAGTAAGAACCATTGGGTAAAAAAAAAATAATCCTTAAAGAGAGTTCTAAAAATCCCTAATCTCCCTGGCCAACTATCTCTATCTCAAAGAAAGTGAGGAGGGTTACCTGTCTTTCTTACCTATTTTGCTCATCCTCTTTCCCCCTCTTGCAATGTCGTGTTCTCCTCACGAAGAAGAAAAACAAAACAAAAAGTAATACAAAATCTCTGTCCCTTATGTCTAGTGATGGAGCCAATGCCAACAGAGAGAAAAAGGATAAAAAATTGCTCGTTCACAAGCATGGCCTGACATGGCACATCAAAAGGTTCTGGCACAAAGGATGACTTACAGTCTCTATGTAACTAACTACCAGCAAACATGTCCATCCACTTTATTCTGATTTTCCCAGGTCTTCTGGCCTCACCAAGTGATAGGATGTAGGACTTGTGCTCTTTTAGCCCTCTGAGGTAAGGAGTCTGGTGATGTGGCATGAGCCCCACAACTCTATGCATAAAGGAAAAAAAAACATGCTCCAAAGGAGCAAATTCAAATGTTACCCATGTTGAGATTTGTGTTGCCCACCTCAAAATCAATGGTGTTCCATTATCCCTGGAAGTTCTCAATTTCAAGAGCTATTGCAGAAAGCATGAGCAATTCACAGAGCTTTCATTTATATAACAAATGAGGATGTGGTTTTAAAAGGTCATGCACTGACCTAGCCCTACTCCCACTGCAGTCTCTGGCAGAGCTCCAACTGACACCAGTGGGAGTAGAATTCAGACAATGGGAAATTATTTTGAAAATTGAATGGAAAAAAATCTTGAATCACATCTGCTTTCCCTTTTTCCCCTCTCATCCACACCCTTCTCTTGGTCTCACTAGTTGTGGTGGAATGACGCACTAATTGGTTCTGCATGGACGAGACCACGCTGAGGCAGATTTGTTGCCATAATCTAATCTAATTAAAATAATTTTCAGGTCCGAGTGAGGATTTAAATAAAAAATATAATAAAGCAGACCTTGACAATTGATGCTTGCTGTGAAAATGACTGAAAGCGATGAGTAATTTCAATCTGAGCTCGTTTGCGTTTCCATCTGCATATATTTTAAATCCTAATTATATGTAATCAACAGTATAAGCAACATGATTCTTCTTGTAGTTGACAAATTTGTGGATTCATTTTGCATACCTTCAAATGCATACATACCAATGAATATATAAACTATTTCTACCTGAGAGAGTTTTACATCAAGTAATTACAATTTAGCTCAATTAAAAATGCTCTTGAAACAAGTACAGCGTCTCTCAGATCCACCAAGCTAATTTAAGAAGCCAGTGGACATGATTAGGTCAGCCCATCAATGAAGGCTGACTGGGAATTAAAAAGAAGGCCACAGATGCATGACTTTATTTTTGGCTGGACTTTCCCAGCAGGGTGTTTCTACATTACATCGAAAATTAATAATCCAACTGGGTGCAGAGTAAGGCAGGCCAGCCCTTTTTCAAAGTGACCAGAAAGGCTGTATAATGAGCACATCTTCTACGTGTAGCCACCAACATCAGGGCCTGGTTCTTGGAGTTACTGGGTACCTGCCTTTCTAACATTCCCCAGCCACTGGGAGAAGCTCAGCACACCAGAGAGATGTGTTTCCACCAGAGAGATGGCTTTCTTCTAAGTAATATCTACACTTATAAGGATGGAGAGCAAGGCAGACCTCACTCCTATAGTACTGGTTGGTCCAGTAAACTACTGTGGTGTTACTTATCTTCCTTATGTCTGTCAGGCAGAAGCAACTGCTGCTCCCAAAGAGCAGGTGAGCTGAGAGGAGGTGGCCCTGGTGCAGGCCATGCCCTCACGCATGAGCACCATCCCTCAGGGCTGAACATGGACCGCAGAGCTTGTGCTGGTAACAAGGCCCACGGGCAGCCCCAGCCATGGTGAGTGGATGGGCCAGGACCAGGATCCAACTGGGAGCAACAGAAGACCCAGCCAGAGATGAGTCTTTTCTTTTGCTGCTGCCAAGCAGTCCAGAGGACACCTACCAAAAACTCATAGCAACTGCTTGATCCAGATCTGTTTGAAAAAACAACCTGATTGTCATTAACAGGTCAATACTGCACATCCATGAAGTTTCAGTTTCTACATGACCTTTTGAATGCATGGGTTAAAAGATAAACCTTAACCAACTGTCCGGGGATTTTTCTGCCGTTTCTAACCTGTATTTCACAGGACAGGTGAAGGAGAATAAATGCTACTAGCGCCAGTGCTATTTTAGTCTTAAGAACCATACTTAACACTCTGCATTTGTGACAGTTTTATTCATGTTCCAACTGAGATAAAGACATAAACAAATCTTCACAACACCCCTTGCCTGTCAAATATTGTGATTTCAATTCTACAGGTGAAGAAACTGAGCATATTTACTCCAGCAGACAATATGACTTGAGGCAGTGTATCGGAGCTTTGTTAACAACATATGGGTCTTTCCTATGTCAGGGTCATGGTGCTGTGGGACTATCTCAGGAAGGATATATGTAGGAAAGATGATTATTGTTCCATTTTTGTACTACAGACCTTTTCAAAAGGCATGCTCAACTTTTCACCTGTAAAGGGGAATATAATCATAATGTTTGACTACCTGGTGAATTGGGGGTCTCACATAAAGCACAAGAGTCGTGAGCTAAGCTCTGCTCTCATACTAGAGGCAGTTCTTGCTGGTTCTTGTCCACTATGCTGGGAGGTAATTTGTTTTATAAGTTGGTTTTTTTTTTAAAAAAAAAATATACATATATAAATCTAAAGAATTCATAAGTGATGAAGTTACATCCTGGCACAATGTACAAAATATGTACCTGTCATAAAATAACAGTGCAATAAAAATAAAAATCATGTATGTCAGAAAATATCATGAACAGAATATATGACTGTGTTGAAAATAAATGTAACTGATATTTAGTGCATACTTAACTCAAATTTCCCTTCAGACAAAACCTCTGCTGTTCACAGTCTGAAAAATAAAAACTTTAGCAATGGGTGTTATGAAAGTCTGGTTCTCATTCCTATATGTCAGCTTTTCCACATTAATCAATTGTCCAGACTTGTTTCCACTGCACTTCCCGGAGGATTCTTCCAGCTCTGGGCTTGTCTCCACTTCTGATTAGCACATATATGACTGAAAGCACTGACTTCTTTTAAGTGCTTGAGTTCAGATTGAGGAGCATAACTGTGGGCATCTGAGTTTGAAAAAAGATTGGCCCAGAGGCTGAAGCATTTCTGGTTTTGTTTAAGGAGATCATTATGTGTCCTGTACAGAAACAGCTGCAGGAAACCTGTCTGATCACTTCAAGGAGTGCTGAACCAGTTTCTCCCAGAATGGGCCAAGGAAAGTAATGAGCAAATTCCTGGACCTTTCCTACTCTGTGTTAGGAACAATGCTGTTAATTCGTTTATCCTGATAGGTTTACTCTATGTCCTCATTCAGACCTAGGCCTTATGGCTGATTAAGTGCGATGACGGGTGGCCTCCTGCCATTCAATATCACCTAACATGGCCCTATTTTTGCTCTTCATTGCTGTCACTCTAACTATGATGCACATGCTCTTTTCCATTACAAAGCATTCTTGCTCATCTCCTAACCCAAAGAACATGTTTTCTTTCATACATTCTCCAGGAGCCCACAAACCCTGAAACCACTTCTCTATGATAAATGAAAACCCTTGGTGGTAAATAATAGGTAATACTTTGGGAACATTGTGGGCTCCAAGAAGAAACAGCTCACTATCCATCTGAGCAGTAAGCAAGAAGAAAAATAACTATACACCTAATCTTACTTCTGTTCCATGTGTAACTCTACTT